GTATCACCAGGTGGTTGGTTGTCAAAATTATGGTCCCTTTTTGGGGTACCCTAAATATTAGGGGCCGTATTATAATAGGGACCCAAAAAGGGGCCATAATTTTGACAACCACCCAGGTCTTTATGCTCCGCATTTGCAACCTCTTGTGGCCGAAGCCTGCGACATGATCATATGATCACCCCTCACAAGCCAAACTCGGTTCCAGTATATTGGGGTGATATTGGGGTATANNNNAGTGTATTATAGTAGATTATGGTATATATTATAGCATACCATGGTACATAATATAGTATATTACAGTAGTATTGGTAGAGGGGCTGACAGGTCCCCAGGCCCTCTTGGCATCATAGCCACAAGTTTTCTCATTGGCTCATTCGGCGGCAGAACATATTAAAGCCCTAGTGGTCCTAGTGCCTGTTCCCCATATTGCCCAAGTGCAGAAATGCTGCGCAAGCTTCAAAGATGACACTGTATATGCTTTCCCGAACTGAAGCGTATTCGCCCGCGTGTTGGAAACAAGCCTTGTCAGGACAGGAGAGGGATACAATGAAGATGCCATTTCAGGTGTTACTCATGCTGGCAGGGTTATTCTAGCAAGAACTAACTTCTCGTGATTGAAATTGTTCATGCCTTACTGTTGATACAAGAACTCCAGCACCACGCTAGGCACATTCTATCTTCGGAAGTAGAAATGCTTCAGGGACTACAGGCGATGCAAGACTTCATCCATCAACAGTACTGCCCCTGCTAGATCAACTGCCAATGGACCGAGTGGTCGGCCTGGAATGGATGCTCTAAGAGCTGCGGTGGTGGATTTCAGACACTCCGCAACTGAAATTACCGGGGATGATTTGGGAGTTTGGAAAAATTACCCCAGCAATGGAGAATTAACTGGAACATGAAATGGAAACCCAAATTCACACGGACTTCTTTTCAGGGGGGGTCTGCATTAGCGTTAGCATCAGTATTGGTATTAGTTGCGCTGAATGAGGGACAGGGTTGAACCTCTGTAGCTCTGCTTTCTGAGAAGGGATGAAGAGCATGTGGCTTTAGTTTCAGCGCTGCAGATCCCATCAAAACATGCTGGCCCCCAACACTTGACATTCACGAAGCGTATCAGAAAACAATATCCAGATCCTGCATGAGGACAAATACTTCACTTGACATTAAATGCAGTTCCCATGCAAGGGTGCGTCTCAGTCAGACGCGAAACAAAGGCAATTGCCTGAGAAAAGTTACCATGTAGGGACCTTGCAGAAGCCCTTATGTACCCCTTCGTGTCACCCCACGGTCCCGTATACCTTTAGATGCCCATATATGCCCCTTATATATACTTCCCCCATTGAAGGCTCCCTCCTGTAGTTGGTTCTACAAGATGCATGCCCTCTCACCTGCAATTTGGAGATCTCCAGGAGACCTCTGCTGTTAATACGCACCCATCACATGTAAGAAAACAAGGCGTGACAGAGTTGACATATTCTTTGTACTTCCCGAGATGCAGACTCGCATGTTTCAAGCTAAGATAGAAGCCTCAAGGTGGGTAATCCTGTTCCTTTTTGACTGGTATTCATTCTTAGACAACCTCCGGTGGAAACCAGATAGACCTGAGCGTCCCACAGGATTATGTAAATTCCCCCTCCCCCCCTGACGACATTCATAAATCCGGTCTATACTTGGCTCCTTTGTCTCTGGAAGCTGCCGCAAAGCATTCCTGGAAACTCCTAGGACCCGGAGCCGCGGCGTGCTGATCAAGGCTAGGAACGGAGGGCAGGACAGCCTGCAATGCCTGCACGCAGCAGTTTGGGCAGGATGACTCTTTCTCGTCGTTGTGCAGTGGGTGCGCAATGAACCGTGTCATCACATCACTATGATGATGATGATGAACTTTGCAATTCTGTGCTTCTGTCAATATGTCAAAGATGCGCTTGACTGTTAGCGCTGCTCTTGCCGTCGCCGCTTGCAGAACAATCACAGGAGTGCCCCGGCCGCGGCATTGACGGGCAGGACGCATGGTAGACCAGCATGGGTAGCCGAGAGAGCTAAGCTGCTTTAACACAAGGGTGTGGGGGTCTGCTAGACATTGCCGGCAATCTTGGCGCTATGCAAATCTTAAAAGCTCGGAATCTCTTCTTGTTCTAGGCCTAAAGTACACCTGACAGCCCACAAGGACTGCAACGTGGAGGCCTGCCCCACAACAACTACGACTACGACTACCACTACGACAACAACGACAACAACAACAACAACCACCGCAGAGGCTCCAAACAATGCCGAGGAGGCAGCGAGCCCCAGCGACGACGAGGTCATTCCAGAGCAGGCACCAAGTCCCAAACAAGTTGCTAGCAGCATGTCCCAGAGCATTGAGTGCTGCTTCGAGGAAGAGGTCTCCGCATGACTGCTAGCGGCTAGCGGCCTTACACGCGGGCTGTGAAGCGAGCCTTTTGGAGGGTGCCTACTGTGTGGCATTCATGAGGAGCAGCACAGCCAGCGAGGCTGGACTTCGGGGCACAGCGCCAGAAGTCAGTTGGGCATGTGCCAAGAGCTATGCCTGTGTACAAAGCACAATGAGACCTTCTGTCTTGGCATATACCCATGCATAGGGACAATAGGCCGCGTTTTCAAGCGGAGCTGCCTCTGCAACTCCTGGCTGACTGCGAGCCAGCAGTTTGGATTAGTGATCATCAGTGATCAAATTTGTGTTTTTTGCCTCCAGGCACCGGCCCACCTGTAGAGCCCCGGCTGCTAGATGTTCTCGTCGCCGCGCATGGCATCCCAGATTCTTGAGCTTGTTAAAGTTCCGGATTGCCTGACCTAGGTCAGTCAAGCGCCTGCTGCATTGCTGCAGGTACCAGGGAGCTACAGAATATTCGTGGAGGCTAGCAGGTTTTTATACCAGGGTTTTGGGGTTCATCGTGCGCCCCGAAAATGTTTGAGAATGATACCATCTGCTCCCACAGTCTTAAGAAAGCACAATTACAGAGTTCTGGCTGAATGTCGATGGTCGATGAGTTGAGAGCAGCGCTTTCCTGCCAGAGCCAGACATGTGGCTCGAGCTCATGGTAAGCAAGAAAAAGCAATAATTCTTTGTCATCTCCTTGCATCAAGTGCAAGATGGGCTTATCAGCAACAGTGCAAAGACCTCAGAGAGGAGGGTGCTTGGGACTGGGGGGCTTTGAACTGCACATGGCCCTTGTGCGCAGAGCTTAGTGAGCAGAAATGCAAGAGGCAAAGCCCAGCCAGTGCACCCATCATACCATGCGCACAGCACCCAGGCCGCATCAAGTAATCATGATAGTAGCAATTATTAGCATTATTATTATTATTAGTAGTAGTAGTAGTAAAAATAATTCAATAGTAGAAATGTAAATAAATGTCACAACAAATCAGACAGATGCAAAGTATCTTGGAGCTGAGGCAGCTTGCAAGGCTGCGAATTGGTTTGTCGAGGGCACGCAATGCATGTTCTACCTGCTGCCGCCCAAACGTTTATCTCTGTCGAAGGGAGACAAGGTCCCCAACCTGATCAGCAGTCATGGCTTCGTTGCGCACTGAGTTGTCCTGACACGGCAGGCGCATTATCTCACCACATTTTGCATCAAGAGCAGATAGCAGCTTGAAAAGCCGAGGGCATGTTCTTGGTCATGATTGTGACGGAGATCGCTGTGGGTGCTTGCGTCGCCCAGAAGAGCTTGTACCGGTTCAATGACTTGATGGCTTCTATCTCCTCGGGCACGTGTCAGCAGCTTTTTGTCGCGCTAATGGCGAAGTTTGCGGATCCCAAAGCCACCTTCCGGTTTGTCAATGAACGCTGCAAGCTGGTGGATTTTGACGTGAAAGGCCGCATCCGTCTTTGTTCAGATTCACCAGCAGTGTAAGCGTATTCATAAGTAGCGAGCCGCACCAGCAATCCACGTCACTGCTTCAGGCAAGCCCTTGCTTGCGTGGATCTTCCTCTTCTTGGGAATTGACCTTGGCTACTACTGGGCCCACCGCAGTTTGCATGTGCTACACGTTGGATGGGCTGCCCACAGCGCACACCACGCCGGGGAAGTCTCGAGGTTGCAACGTGTTTTCCTGCCCCGTTCTTATAGTCCCCCTTAAGTAGATAGACTAATATTGGAAATATGGGGATCTTACTACAATATAGGTCAATTCCATATTCTACTTAAGGGGGACTAAAGCCTGAAGTTTTGGGAAGTAAGAAGAGGCCCGCGCTGGAGCCTGGCTGCTGAACAAGGCTGAGTCCTGCTGTTAAGATGGAAAGCATAGTAGAGACCCAAAGCGCATTTCGGCCACCGTAAGGTGCTTAGCCACAACTGCCTCCACCCCTTAAAGTGTCTAAAGCATTTCAGGCAGCCGAAACGATGTGTCATATACTATATAGTATAGTTTCCATGTTCTTTTCCATTATCCCTATATAACCCCCCTATAATCCCATATACTATAGACTCTAAACCACTGATCCTTAAACCCAATATACCAAGGACTATAACTTGGCCACTGCGCTTCGGCAGGGAGCTTTGCAGCCAGCCATGACTTGGCTCTTCGCGCTACCCTTGGCCCTGTTCTTTCCGGCAGAGTCCATCCAGATACTGGGCTTTAGGGTTTAAGGGCTAATGGGTTTAGGGTTTATAAGTTTATAATTGTAAATTATAGTATATTGTTTAATTCTCTGAACCTAAAGTATATTATGGTTATATTGTAATTATTTTAGGGCATGTTGGCTTTAGGTTGGGGCTTAATCCCCTCCTAATATTAAACCCAATATGATGTACCACAATGGGGAGTATTTACTATTAGGGGGGTGGGGGGTTTAATATTGGGGGGAGGGGATTGGGGATGTTTAGGGGTGGGGGCCTGCCCCCACCCATGAACAGTCTATGATAGTAGGGGTCATATTATGGGCTCTATATAATCATATGATAATCATAATTCAACTGTTAATGAGCGGGGGCAGTACCCCAGGTTTAGGGATGTTTAAGGGTGGCAACCTAAGGTCCCCTGGACTCTTGCTTAAAGCATGCACCGTGAAACGGCACGCGGGTTGGATTCCAAAGAAGAGGCGAAGCAGGCTGGAAGCGTAATGGGTTCAGGTACTTTAGGAAAGGAGTGAAGAGTCTCAAACATGCCTGAGATTTGAGGGTTTGAATTGGTGCAGGCCTCAATCCTCTGACCCTACTGATAGCGGGAGGCACAATTGCCAGGCTTCTCTACTTGAGGACCTGTTGCGCAGCTGTAGAAAACTACTTGCAATGGTGTGTCTCTGCTTAATGCCAGGCGCGGAAGGGATGCGAAATGGGTTTTGGAATGGCTTTGCTTCTTCCAGGAGCGACTTCCGTGTCAGTGGGCTTTAGGTGTAACAGACTCTCCAGGAGCGTCAAAACTTTGACATGATGTTGGACGGGCGTAAGCCGTTGGAAATTTGACACACTGAACCCCTCAGTACTCATAGAACTTACCAGTAGTCTTAAGCTGCCTTGCGCATTCAAACGGCCACAGTGGGAGGACGCGGCCAAAGTCAAGAACGTGTGTGCATGGGTTTGGTAATGCGTTTCTATACTATGACCCCATCCCAGTTCCCAGGCATGCCTGAGCATACTTGGTAGTTGCACAAAATGGGGAGAACCCCAATACAGACCCCAACATATTATAACCCTTTCTGCGGGGACCCCAAAAGGGTACCCTTGTTTTTGAGAAACCCCCAATTTGCAGCCAAGGATACACTTGCAGCTCAACACTTTGTATCAATTCTGGATACACACCGAACTTTGTGGAAGGCTCGGTCCGCTAGAGTATGTGTTCAACACACCTTTCCACCACAGAATGCATCATCGACCCCCTGGGAATTGCAACTACGGCGGGGTGCTGGTTATTTGGGACCGACTTTTCAGGACATATGAAACTGAAACGGAGCGCTTGGATTACTTTGGCCTAGCGCAGCCAGCTGGGACTTTCAACGCTGTGGACCTGAACCTCCAACACTGGCGCAAGATGGGCCGATTTCATCTCCTTCGCGGCGGCTGCTTCTGGCAGCTGCTACGCTCTTCGGTGTCGAAGCGTCACTGGGATGCAGCTGGCTCCTGAAATATCTAGTGCACAGGTGGCCATTCACGTGAGCAATCCTTGAAAATTGTGGTTTTCATTTTATTTTCCATTATCCCAGTATAACCCGAATATAACCCAATATTACCCCAATGGGTCTTTGCGCCTAGGGGCCAGCCACAAGTTAGCATGGTCGCCGGGTGAGTTGCTGCAGTCCTATGACGCCATGGCAGAAGACAAGAGCTCCTGGAGCTTGCCTGGGAAGGAGGTCTTCAAGCAGTTATGGTACTCTCTACCTGTAGGTATTGCCCATGTGTACTACTAAGGTAGCTGATCAGAATTTGGAAAGTGAGTTGCAGCTAGGATAGTCCATGCGGATCGCGATAGGTCAGACCAAAGTATGGAGGAGCAGAACTTCAACTGAATCTTGGCGGCTATGGAAGGGGGAGCAGCGTGCTTCTTCTGCCAGCTGAAGGGTGCCCACTACCACACTGCAAACATTACATTCCAGAATTTTGAAGCATTCCTTTCAGTGCTCGGTTTTTCATGGCTCAGGATGGGCAAAGCAGCGGCCATCGCGATGTTTTTGGGTGCGTTCCTCTGCTTGCAGAGGGTTGGCAAGCCCGCAGACCGACCCAAACTCCAGCTTCTATGCGCTGCCGCTGGAGGATTTACCTGGCTTCATGCGCTTGGTGGCCCGGCTGTTCATTTCATGAAACTCATAAACCCCAGATGTCCCAGACTTTTTCCTACTTCCTGTTTCATCCTGATTCTTAGGTGACTTCCTGGACACAGGAACCTACCACTCATCATTGGTGGGGCAACTTTGCTTGGCTGCTGCCTTTACCAGTTTGGACATGGGGCTGTTCCCGCGGGGCCAGACATGAAGTGGAGCCATGTTCCACTAGCAGAGGTTCGTGCCCCCGCGTGACGCCTAGACTACCGCTTCCTGCAAAGTAGCCGAATTGGGCACGGTGTTTGGCCGACCAATCGCAAATTATTTAGTCCTGAGCCAGTGTCCGTGGAACTCTGCAGTTGCAAAGCCAGCAGATGCCCGTGGCCTGTGCCTGCTGGTGAGGTGAGGTAATTGGCCGACCCCTGGCAAAGCTGTCAGTGAGAAAGGTGCTCGTGAATCATGCTGTTTTTGAGTCAGGGTCGCACACGCTCAGCAGGGCGAACAGAAGTTGATTTATTAATACTCTTGTCGTTATTAATATCACTACTACTAAGCATTACCACTACGGATATTGCTATTATTGGGCTTAGGAGATCTGAAAACTGGGGGGCTGGGGCCGCAGCCAAGCCTCGCGATACGTTGCGTATCTTTGCCCTGGCAGAAGTGTGTGCAGCAGTAAACTGCCATTCTTGTTGGTTCCGCTAGTAATTAATAGTAATGTAACAGTAACAGAAATAGTAGTAATAGTAGAAGCTATCGTAATGATATTGATAATAGTAATTCATGGTACCTACTTCCCTTGTTGGCTCAGGTAGTCGTCCTTTGATGAACAACTATAGAGGGTGAGGCCACAAATGAAGGGAGAGCAGGCAACATGCGAAGCTGGGGGACTTTGTTGCAAGAGTTGTCACACATTCTGCTGGCAGCTGCTCAAGCACTGATACCGGGCAGCCGACAGCGTGTGACAACTTGTTTGTCAGGTCCGCACTTACGGACACTGGAGGCAGTGAACCTTGTGATTGCAAGCTTTGCTGCCTTGTTCTTGAAAGGCGCCTGAATTGGCTTGCATAAGCTGAGGAAGGATGGAGCCCTTGCTGGGGCCTCTGGCTTCCTTGGTCAACCCACTCTCAGTCTCTTTTCCGATGTGGTTGGCCTGCGTCGCGATGAAGGCCCGTTGGGACATTTTGGCAGGATTGGCGTGGGTTATGTCAGTGGTCAGCCTCCTGGCAGGAGATTGGCTTACAAGCAGCTGACCTTGGTGCTAGCCTTACTTGGAGGTACCATTCAACCCCACAGTCGTTTTGGTTATGATGCCGGTCCCCATCGGGTAAGAGAGTTGACTTCATGTGTTGCTATATTCAGTCGGAAGCTCAAATCTCTGAGGCGTGACCTGGGCATGCCGTTTTCTGAAGGAGCTGCCAAGTCGAACTGGTCAAAGAGTACTGTACAAGAACCAGTTGGATCACAAGGACATTGCGTCAAGCTCCCTGTGTTTGTCAGAAGTGCTAAGTAGCGCTTGAGATGGGAGCGGCTGGAAGTGCTTCGCCTGTTGCCGAGTCTTGGAAGGATATGATGTTCCTCTCCATAAATTCTGTCATCGAGGCTGTTTTCAGCTGCCACATCCTCAAGATGATGTCCCTTGAGCTGCATATACCTCTCTTCCAGATCGGCAAACTTGCATTCTGCATCCACCCTGACTATCTCATGCCCAGCACCAAAGGTGGACTTCACCTTTGGTTGTTCGCAGCTGGAGCTCCTTCACCATTTTGACTGGACCTCTGGCCTTACTGCGCCACGGCTGAAACCCAGTAGAAGTAGGCAATTATGCTGCAAAGAAAACAGACCCTTAGGCAGAGTCAAGACCTGCGGTATGGGTCAACTAAGTTTCTTATATTGTTACTGCCTTCATCTTTACCCTTTTACCCCTGAAACAAGGCCAAAAGTCTCACCATGGATGCAAGAACCTGCAGCCAGGCAGAGCAAGCCTGCACATACTCATATTACGGTTCAACGCCCAGGAAATCCAGCAACAGAAACCAATGAAGCAACAGCATTCATCTTCTAGTTATGTAGGAGTACTAGGTCACTACAAGCAAGGACACCCCTAGGTGGATAGTTACCAGGTTGGTACCCTCATATAAGGCTAATGTAGGAATCATGGGGCCATATGAGGTTTATATAGGCCTTCTTTAAGGGTACCCACCTGATAACTACCCACCTGGGGGTTTCCTTGATACAAGGAGTGTTATAATTACATTTGACACGGAGACAACAGGCTGTGGCCTGGTTTCATGTTTTGGTACCTGTGGAGAGGGGGGGTCTTTCTGATATCGATGTCTGAGGTTGATCGTTCTTCTCAATGACATGCTTTATGCTCCAGCCCATCGCAGCTGGCCTGCGAGACATCTATCCATGGAGTGCATGGCAGAAGTTGCAGACCTTGAGCATTGGAGGATTGCATTTTGCAATTAATTGCTTCTGTTTTTTTCCGAGCAAGGCTTGCTACATCATCCATCCGTGTACCCCTACATTCACAAGCACCATCATCGATCAGTGTATCCCACACGCGGCAACATCGATGCTCGCAACGAGCACCCAGTGGAGCAGCTGAAGCCTGGCTGCAAGAGTGCAGTGCCGCATTTTTCCAAGTCTCTTTGGAGCTGTGCTGCTTCGGTCGAAGCAAGGGCTGTGTGTCATTATACTTCACATGTCACTTAAATTTGGACAGTCATGAGCAGATCAGGATTGCAATGGCTTTATGGATGACAGCAGTGCACATCTCCGCCTACACGGTGGGTTTGCACGCTGCGGCGTTGGGTACCCATCTTGCCCTCATGACCACCGGCGCGTCTCTAAACCATGCGGGATATGACTTCGAAATCCGCTTTCTAGGCCAGGGAAGCCGGGAAGCATGCCTAGCCGCATGGGAGGGTGACGGGGGGGCCATGCTTCCATTTGAGCATAAAGCAACAATGATACTATACTCCACTATACCTTTGTTGTCTCTTTTGCAGTTTCACCTTGGAGCCGTAGGTATCTGAGCAGGTGTAGACTGGTATTCCACTGGCGCGCATGAGATGCATCACCGTCGACCCGACAAAAATTTTGGACAGTTCACGATGCTTTGGGAGCCGTGGATGCAGTGCGCATGTGAGATGTCGTGGGTTGCCAGTGTGAGCCAGTCACGTAAGTCAAAGTTGCCCATGACTGACGCATCAAGGACAAACTCATGGGAACGTATATTCCCTACTTGCACGACGAGGGGGCGGAACCAAAGAAAAGCGAGCAGGAACAGAAGTGTGATTAGGGTGCTGAGTGCACCGTGCTGCGCCTAACCATGTAGCTGCAGAGCAGCCTGAATTTGCATGCCCTGGACAACACTGGCCTGTGCTAGTGTCCATGACCGGCGAGCAGCAGGTTTGGCTTTGAGATTGTCAGCGCCTTTGAGGCACCGGCTAATAGGCCGAATGCACACGAAGCTGAAGTTAAATAGGTGTCGGAGTCATATCATGCGAAGATATGCGAAGGTAGATGAGCAGTATTGGTTTCCAATTAGTGCGCAGTGCTCATCCAGACAGTCACTCTTTCGCTTACGCGGGCTTCGTGTTGTCTTGCGCGAGATCCTGCCACTTGCTGCCAGTGCGCCGATATGCGCCGATGCAATGTAGATACCATAGTTCGTCAGCATCGGGTGCCCCTGTGGCCTGTTTTGATTCTTTTTGGATTTTCCGTTGGATGTTGTGGCAATGTGCTACTGGTGCAGAGGGGAAGCTATGGCAATACATTAGCCGGCAACAGTTCGCAGCTCAGCTGCGGGCCAAAAAGTGTTCCCCAGATGCCCTTGCCAATGATGGCCATTGACTGGGTTGCTGTTAAGGAACTTAAATTAAGTTACTATATTGGGGAAACCCTTTTATTTATTGTATATATATATATACCCATTATGGTAACTTAATTTAAGTTCCTTAGCAGCAACCCAGTTGATCCACTGCCGGTGTTGGATGTGTGAAGCAATACTGGCAGTTTATTGCTGGCCTTGAGTGCTCAAGCTACCTGCAGGTTGACAGCAAAGCAGTTAGCATCCTGTAGTTGCCCGGGCCCCAGCCGCACACACACACGCACACACAAAACATTGTCTCCTCATCATGGCAAGGAAGTGGGTGATTGAGAGGGTCACACAACCCCAGCGAGAATGGGCTGGCCCTGCAGCTGCATGGCCTTCACCAGGCATCAGGAAGCTTTTCTTTGAGGATGCTTAAGGTGACAGGCATCACCCCCTCACAGCAACCACAGATGCATAAACGTGTAGGGCTGCAATTCCACCTAGCTTGCTTTTTCTGATGGTGAAATGAAGGAAGCCAGTAAGTTTTTCCGTAGATGGGTTGGTGCTTGTGGCTCAAGAATGGGGCCATGCTACGTGACTCGTTTCTCCGCAGCTGTAGTCTCTCAAACAAGGAGACATGGAGTGGTTGAGTACTGCGCTCGCCCCTCTTTCCGAGGGTGCAGATGGCAGCCATGGATATGGGCTTCGTAGGCCCCAGAGCAGCAATGGCAGCTGTGCAGCATTTTCTTCTCAGTCCTTTATGGTGTCTTCTGCAAATGCCTGGAATATCTTGTGGCCGTCGATTCGAGGTACATGTGGCCAAGCCTCAACCAATTCACTGGCGTGCTCAAGCAGTCTCAGCACCATGGCTCCGGAAGATTCCGAGGAAGTGTGCCTCAGCCGCACAGTCAGCCATCCAGAAGCCGTTGGGCCGTTGGGCGTGGATCTGCATTTGGTAGCAGTTTCCTTTGCATATTCCATTTCTTGGCCACTTGAGTCTCCCTTTTAAGACCCGTATAACCCTGTAGAATCCGAAAATACCCTAAAATACCATGCAGGGCCCTCTAATTTGGTAATTGCTACGCGCTGATTCTTCTCTGGGTTCAGGCCCGGGGTCTCAGATGATCATTTCGACGACCTCTACAGTCCTCGCAGACTAGCCTCCCTGCGTGAAGGGATGCGGATAGGAGACTTGGTGCAGAATTCGTTTATGCGCTTCATGTTTTATTTTTGTTGGCACACATCAGGACAGGACAAGCCTAACACAATGGAATAGTTGAATAGCCTTTGTTTACTTGCTTGCCCGCCTAAACTTGCCATACCCCCAGCACCTACTGCATGCAGACACCTGGGTGGATGTATTCATCCAACGCTTCAGGACGTAGATCTCTGCGAATAGCCGCAGAGATGGAGCACAAGCCTTTCTTAGATTTGGTGCCTCGGCTCTCTATAACCCCTATGTGGTAGTTTCCCAAAATAGGGGGACCCCATTATAGACCCCAAAATACCATAGTCCTTATTATAGGGACCCCAAAAAGGTACCCCTAATTTTGGGAAACCCCCACATAGCCCCCAAAATTTTTAACCTATGTATACCTGCTGTAGCCCCTATCATAACCCCTCGACCCTTGGGTCAGAGGCGACCCCTTCGGGCCTTCAATGGGCTGGATTTTTTGAAGGGTACTTCTCCCAGATGAGCAATCTCAATTTCTGAAACTGGGATATATAGGGGACTGCTAGAGGGTTTGCTTTGGGGGCATACTAAGGGTTTACACTTTTTCTCATATTCGTTTCTGCCACACCACAGTTATGGAAGCCCACAAGCCATAGCATGGGATACTCAAGATTAGCATCACCAGCAAGGAGGACACCTTTGCAGCTCCATGCCCCTGAGGCCTTACACGGTGGTTTGGACGATTCCCCCATATATAAAGCCTTTATACCCCGTATATTACCTTATATGCCCACTATAACCCCTGGAATTGCCCTATATAGCCCCTATATTACCTATATACCCACTTTAAGCCTATAATAACCCCATATAGGCCTGATATTTCCCTATGTATACATAATTTTGATGTTAACCACTTGGCATGATGTGGATTTTCTGAGGGTCTCTCTCTATGTTGCGTTTTTCTACCAAAGAGAGGCCCTCTGTCTCCAGCCAAAGTATCCAGCACCGTGCTTAACATCAACAGAACGGTCAGTGTTTTTGTTTAGCATTGCTACTTGCTCTGCATGCGCTCTGCATGCAAGACTTGCACAGACGTACTCACTGAGGCACGGCCGCATGTGGGGTTGCACCCCTTAGAGGAAGGCAGATCCTTCTTCATAGATGATGCGCCATGGCTCAAGCAGAGTCTTGCTCTTTGGAGTTCTGGTTTGTACATCCCTACCGCCTTCTCTGTCGGACCTCAAGCTCAGCCCCACCTCTACTGGGTTGCAGTTAATGAGTTTAAGTTCAGTTACTATAATAAGGAAACCCAAATTATTTCCAAAATACCCACATTATTATGGTCAACTTAAGTTCCTTAACAGCAGGCCAGTCTCGGCCGTATACGCGCATTCCAATGGCATCTTCACGGAACACAAAGGAACAGTTTAGCTGCACGGACATCATATACGGTGGGAACGCACAAGGTTGGTAATAATCCCTATAACATGGCCCTATAAAAACCCCCAATATAGATCAGTGTCCGTATAATTTTCGATGTTCTTTTTCATGTGATTCTCTCTAATAAGCCCCCCCGCCCCCACACAGACAAAGTTGAAAGTGTGCTGCAAAACAAAATCTATATAGTCTTAGGATTTCTTAGGGCTAGTTCCATTTTTTAGCTGGTTCCTTTTGCGGCAAGCATACGTAATGAGACGCGGGGGACTGACTGCTGCCCATTTACAGGATGCTGCGAGGCAGTTTGGGTATGCTGCATTTCGAGCTGATTCAAGTGACTGCTTAGGGGCCTCGTGAGCAATAGTGATGGTAACCGGATGTTTAGGATCCTAGCCGTGCCTGCAGAGCCATCCACTTGCCGAAGCTCTACCACTCTCTACATATCCCCATATACTCCTATATAGCCCATATACCCTTGTGTAACCCGTTTATATCTCCCATATACATTACTGGTCTGTGACTCTGAGCGCGCTTGAGGCCGACCTGGTGTGTTCCACGCCCATCTCAGATTCGGACCAAGCGACCGATTCAGGAGCTGCAACAATGAGGGCAATGGCCAGAAATAAGATATGACGCAGACACAAAACTTTATGTTCAAGCAGGCATGAGAATCAAAATACCAGCTAGTGGGACTGCGCAATCCGAACTGGAAGCTCTTCCTTAGCCATGTCAGGACGTCATGCGAGATGTCGCTCATCTTCTGCATCTCCGTCGTTTCACCATGTAGCTTTGGTTGTTATGGCCGAAGCTCTTTTTTTTCATAATTTCTGTGCTGAAAGATTTGAGCAGACCCTACATCAGATATAATGTTGTGTGAATGAAGTTCGGAAGAGCCACAAGCTCTAGCAATTTCCCACATTTGGGTTACCCTACGTAGCTGCAAATTTTTAATAGTAGCTCCAGAAGAAGGACCCACGATGTTGAGAAACCCGCAGGTGAAGACGCCAGATAATTCCAGTAACGACCGCCTAGCAGCTCGGCTCGACAATTGGTGTGTTTAACAATTGGTTGTTGTATCACATTTCAGGGTTTCCTTTACATATGATATACTTTTTATACATATATACATACACATGGCCACCTGCCTGCTATCCCACTCACTCACGCACCCCTTGAAAACAGCGTAAACACAACTCAACACAAGCATGTTCGAGGAATCGGGTTTTATGGGTTCCACAGCTTGCCATTGATGCTTTTTGATCTCTCTTAGAGAGCTATGTTTGTCAACCAGCTTTTTTCCCCGGAAGAAGATGCGTTGTTGAAAGGGCTGCTGTTAGAAAAGCGTCTTGTCCTTAGAAACAAAACTTGGAAACCACAAGCGGCTGACTCAATGTGGCCAGAGCCTAGATAAAAGAACGAAGCGTAATTAGAGTTAGAGATCTCCTTTACTTGACAGGTTTTCTGAAAGAATATCAAATAATGGAAATGCGCAAAAAGTGGGATCTCCCCTATTTCCTAGGCTTGAATTGTTTTGAAATGGAGGGTTTTCATACACAAGCTAGATAGACAGAAAGCCACAGAACATCTAACTAGAATTAGGTATCTCCTTATTTCCTAGGCCTGAAAGTTTTTGTACGTGTTTTCTATACCGAATTTTTCTGTACCAAGAGCTCGCTTTCTCAAGTTATACACATTTACAAATCATGAGTTTGCCTCACCTTCGATCATGGGGGGGCGGTGAACATGTATATGAGCCACTGTCAACATTAGCCTTAACTATCAAAAAACCCTAACAGTGGACATAAATGGGTCCCTCTTGTAGCTTACCTTGATATATTCCCTAACCATGTACCAATGTCCAACAAATTATGTA